CCCCTCCTCCTCCACATCATCCTCCTCCCCCTTCCTTTTTGTGCAAGAGCCATGGCACACGTGCCACTTGTAATTGTGATGCTGCCGCTCATGATAATGATAAGAAGCATTCTGCTGATGATGATGCTGCTGATGATGATGGTGATGCTGATGCTGACGACGAGGATGATGACGATTATGATGATGATGATGATGATGATGATGATGATGATGATGATGATGCTGTTGATGATGCTGATGATGATGGCAATGATGATGATTCTGAGGACGATGATGATGATGATGATGATGATGATGATGATGATGATGGTGATGATGATGATGATGCTGATGTTGATGATGCTGATGATGATGACGATGCTGATTCTTATGATGAAGATTCTTATGATGATGAACATGCTGATCATGCTGATGATGCTGATGATGATGATGAGGATGATGATGATGATGAGGAAGAAGAGGAGGAGGAGGAGGAGGAGGGTGATGATTCCGATTCTGATGGTGGTGGTGGTGGTGGTGATGATGATGATGTTGATGATGATGATGATGATGATGATGATGATGATGATGCTGATGCTGCTGATGATGATGACGATGGTGATGATGATGATGATGATGATGATGATGATGATGATGATGATGATGATGATGATGATGATGATGATGATGATTGTTGATGTTGATGATGATGATGATTGATGATGATGATGATGATGATGATGATGATGATGATGATGATGATGATGATGATGATGATTGATGATGATGATGGATGATGAATGATTGATTGAGGAGGAGGAGGAGGAGGAGGAGGAGAGGAAGGAGAGGAGGAGGAGGAGGGGAGGAGGAGGAGGAGTTGGAGGAGGAGGAGGAGGAGCAGGAGGAGGAGGAGGAGGAGTAGGAGGAGGAGAAGGAGATGAGGAGAAGGATGAGGAGGAGGAGGAGGAGGAGGAGGAGGAGGAGGAGAAGGAGGAGGATGAGGAGGAGGAGGAGCAGGAGGAGGAGCAGGAGAAGGACAACGTGTTTTGCAGTTGTGGGATTGCGCCCGCGCTCGGTGAACGACCCGTCTCTCTGCCTTACGCGCAGAGACTGCGCCGATCCATGAGTGCAATACTCTGCCGTTGGCTTTCCCGTGAGGGTATCTGTGGGGCATCTTTCAAGGCAGTGTCGATTTCACCTCGTCTGCTACAGTTGCGCCGATCAGCAAACAACCTCCTCATGCTCGGCTGGCCCAACGTTTCTTCAGCGGCTTTCTAGGAGTCTGGCTCAGTTCTTTTGCTCCCTGCAGATTCCCAGGGCCGTTCGCGCGAGGCTGGGCCAGCGACCGATGAAGGCTTTGCCAGCACGCTGGCCCAGGGTTCCTTGAGCCAATCGTTGAGCCTTCATCTTCTGCGCCGTGGTTTGGAGCGAGACCGTCAGGGGTAGGTGGGCAAGTAGGCCTGGGTTCAGAGGCCCGGTTTGCTCAGAGGCCCGGCTTGCCGCCTTGCCAGCGTGCTGCCACCGACGTCTGCCAGCGTGCTTGCCAGCGTGCTGCCAGCGTGCTTGCCAGCGTGCTGCCGCCTTGCCAGCGTGCTTACTACCATGCTGCCAACCGACGACTGTCACCTGCCGCCCTGCCAGTATGCTGCCACTGCCTGGCCCCGAGCCACGAAGGCCTTCCCGGATGTGGGCGCAGCGCGTCCGAGCAAAAGAGGTGCGGAAGGGCACTTCATGATCGTGTTTCGCTATGCCAGGCGGGTGGTGTGGCACCAGGCCGCTGACTGTCCTTCCGCGGGCCTTGCACAAGGATGGAGGGGGAGGAGGAGGGGCAGGGAGCGGAGGAGGACAAGCAGGAAGCGGAGGAGGATGGACTGGATCATGATAATGGTGATGATGGTGATGATGATGCTGATGATTATGCTGCTGCTGATGATGAAGGTGATGATGACGTTGATTCTGATGATGCTTGCAATGATGATGCTGATGATGCTGTTGATGCTGATGATGATACTGATGACGACGATGATGAGGACGATGATGATATTGATGATGATGTTTGTGATGGTGATGAGGATGAGGATGGCGCTGATGATGACGATGATGATGATGAGGAGGATGACGATGCTGACGGCAATGTTGATGATGATGAGGGTGATGTTGATGATGATGATTATGATGATGATGATGATGATGATGATGATGATGATACTGTTTCGGATAATACGGATTACGACGATGATGATGTTGTTGATGATGATGTTAATGACGATGCTGGTTCTGATGATGATCGTGCTGATGAGGAGGATGATGATGATGCTGATGCTGCTGCTGATGATACTGATGATGATGATGATGGTGCTGATGCTGCTGCTGATGACGATGAAGAATAATAATGCGATGCTGATACAGATGAAGCTACAATTGCGGATCATGACGATGATGATGCTGATGATGATGCTGATGATGATGCTGATGCTGATGCTGTTGATGATGATGGTGGTGATGCTGCTGATGATGATGCTGCTGATGCTGATGCTGATGCAGATGCTGATGCTGATACTGAGGCTGAATAGGATGCTGATACTGATGATGATGATAATGATGATGATGATGCTGATGATGATGATGATGATTATGCTGATGATGATGGTGATGATAATGATGATGATGACAATGGTGATGATAGTGATAGTGATGATGATGATGATGATGATGATGATGATGAATATGATGAAGATGATGATGATGATGAGGATGATGATGATGATGATGATGATGATGATGATGGTGGTGGTGGTGATGATGATGATAATGATGATGCTGATTGTGATGATGGTGGTGGTGGTGGTGATGATGATGATGATGATGATGACGATGATGATGATGATGCTGATGATGATGATGATGATGATGATGATGATGATGATGATGATGATGGGGAGGAGAAGGAGGATGATGAGGATTTTGATGATAATGAGGAGGAGGAGTCGAAGGAGGAGGACGAGGTGCGGGAGGAGGAGGAGGAGTAGGAGGAGGAGGAGGAGGAGGAGGAGGAGGAGGAGGAGGAGGACCAGTGCGCACCCGAGACGCATCAACGACGTTGCAGTACACCCTCCCTCCAAGTTCCTTCGTCGTGGGTCCCTACAAGAGAATGTCTTGTCATTGCGGGAAGAGCTCCGTTAGAGAACAGCCGTCTGAGAATCCGTAATCGTGGAGCCACGTGATTACTGCATCTTCACTGTCCTGAATTGTGCCAGAACGCCAATTCTGGGACTTCAACTCCGTGAGTGAATGTGACTGCGGCGTCCTGACAATCCTGAAGCGTGCCAGGACGCCATTTGTGGGATTGCAGCCATTCGAATCCTTGAAGCTTCCGCTCACTTGTAAGACGAATGTCCGCGGCGCCAGGGCGATAGTAACATCTTGAAGATGAGCCGCCCTGCATCGTTTCACCTGTTGCAAACTTCAAGACGGATGTGCGCTTGCCAAGGCGAGAACCCCATTTTGGAAACGACATGGCCTCGATCCTTGAAGCTGCTGTTGGTTTTGCAGACGAATGTACGCGGCGCTCAAGCGAGAGCAGCAGTTTGAAAAGAAACCGCCCTTCGTCCTTGAAACTCTGGCAAGCCCTTAAGCCGAATGCGTGTGGCGCGAAGGCGAGAGCCACAGTTTGAAAATGACCCGCCCTTCATCCGTGAAACCGTTACACATTCCAAGCTTCAAGGTCGTAAATGGTGAGGGCGTCTCAGGCGAAACGCCCGGCCCGGCCTGCCGACATGTTTGGGAGTGAGACAAGCAGGAGTTTTTTTAAAAGGGAAGGGATGGAGAGAAAGATAAGAAGGAGGAGGAGGCGGAGGAGTAGAATGAGGAGGGGTAAGCGGACGAGGAGGAACGGAATGAGGACGAGGATAAGGAGGAAGCAGAAGAGGAGGATGCAGAGGAGAAGGACAAGGGGAGTCAGGAGAAAGTTTGCTTCCTCCCTCTTCTCCGCTCCCCCTCCCTCCTCCCTCCTGTCGCCTTCCTCCTCCTCCCTTCTCCCCTGCCCTTCCTCGCCCCCAGCCCTTTTCTCCCCCGCCTTCTCTCCACCACCGTTCTCGGAACGAGAGGGGATCGGACGGGGAACACCGACCAGCACGTGCGTACAACCAAGCGCCCCACAGGCTCGACCTGGGCCAGTGGGTCTGTGGGGGGAACGTTGGCTCCCCGGCAAGGCCGCGCGAGGCCACAGCCACCAAGATCCAGCAGCCCGGGGCGTGCGCTCCAGCACAGCCACCAAGATCCAGCAGCCTGGGGCGCGCCGCGTGCCGGGGAGCGTTCCCGCGCGACCTTTTCGGGGCCGAAGGGGCCCCAGCCCAGGCGGCCCACGGGTGTGCCGAACCGCCGCACGGTCGGTGCAAGACGCCCAAGCTGGCCCCGAGACAGCCCCAGAAGCCTTCGGGACGCCCTGGAAGAGCACCAAGACGTGTATTCCAGCACAGCCGGTTTGCCGACCGGGGCTTCCTACGGCGGGTGCTCCAGCGCTGCACTCTTTGCCAGGGTGTGCGGTCCATCCGCGGCGTTCGTTCCGGCGCTGCGTTCCCTAAGCAGCAGCTGCTGCACGGGTCTAGGTTGAATTTGTGGAGCCCGTGTCGCTAACATAACTACTGCGAGACATCTGCCGCCAGAGTGCCGTGTCGTGCGGTGCCGTGCCCGCGTGCCGTGCCTCGGTTCTAAAATGCAAGAAGAATTAGCCGTGCCGTGCCGTGCCCGCGTTCCATGCCGTGCGTGCCCGTGCGTAGGTTTAAGAATGCGATAGACCGTGCCGTGCCTCCAGGCACAATTCTGGATTTTCAAGCGGTTGACGTCCAACGGGGTATTTCCATCAGCGAAAATGAATACGCGCATGGGGCCCACGAAGTGAGAATTTGGAGGGAGAGTTTAATGCAATGTCGTTAACGAGTCTTGGGTTTCCACTCTCCTCCTCCTCCTCCTCCTCCATCCCTACTCCTGAGAGGAAGGAGGGGAGCAGAACGCCGCCCGAGGTGCATGTGCTGGCCGTGGACGGCCAGGGCGGCCCGCAAAGGAGCGCGCGCTCTCGCCGCACTCGCTCTCCGCGGGCTCGCGGCGCAAACGGAGGGACGGTCGAGCGGAGCCAGTGGGGGTGGAGGGGGGGAAGGGAGAGGGGATGATGATGATGATTTGATGATGATGATGATGATGATGATGATGATGATGATGATGATGATGATGATGATGATGATGATGATGATGACGATGATGATGATGATGCTGCTGATGCTGATGCTGATGCTGATGCTGATGCTGATGCTGATGCTGATGCTGATGCTGATGCTGATGCTGACGCTGCTGCTAATGTTGCTGATGATGCTGCTGATGATGCTGCTGATGATGGTGATGACAGCGATGATGATGTTGATGATGCTGATGCTGATGATGCTGATGATGCTGCTGCTGATGCTGCTGCTGCTGCTGATGATGATGATGATGATGATGATGATGATGATGATGATGATGATGATGATGATTATGATTATGATTATGATTATGATGGTGGTGAGGATGATGGTGAGGAGGAGAAGGAGGAGGATGAGGAGGAAGAGGAGGAGGAGGAGGAACAGAAGGCGCGTGCGCCTGAGCCCACGCCCGCTGCACAGGGCGAACGGGTGACGGCTCAAGGAATACCGCCCTCGGAGGCGTCCAGGTCATTTGCGAAGTACTGGACCATCATGCCGCATTCCGTCCCGAACTGCGCGGGGAGATCGGCGATTGTGCACTGCCCTGCCGTCTCTAACCTGTTGGTGTTGATGCACGGGTGATCATTCACCTTCATGTTTTCGTCGTGCTGCAGGTCTTCGCCGAGCGCGAATCCTGGCGCCTAGTTGGCAAGGCCGCGGGCGGTCCCCCAGCTCGCTGGCAGCACCTCCGCAGGGCTGATGGCGGCCACTTTGCTGTAGCGAGAAGCGGCCGGGGACGAGTCTCCTCCTCCTCCTCCTCCTCCTCCTCCTCCTCCTCCTCCTCCTCCTCCTCCTCCTCCTCCTCCTCTCCTCCTCCTCCTCCTCCTCCTCCTCCTCCTCCTCTCCTCCTCCTCCTCCTCCTCCTCCTCCTCCTCCTCCTCTCTTGGAGCCGAAAAGCTTGAGAGGCAGATTACCGCGGCCATGTCAAGCACACGTGCGTGAATGAATACACAAGGAAATCGCAACAAGCTGCGCTCTATCAGGGAGCCATCGACAGCAGTGGTTTGCAGCGATGTCGCCGTGGTAGCTGGCGTGGCGGCGTCACTGCCGACGCGGCGTTGCTGGCGTTGTCATTGTCCACCACGTGGGGCATCCTTTTTCCGGATGCTTTCTAGAGCAGCGCCGTGAGATGGTAGTTTCGTGTTTTTTTTGGTGTGGCGTCGTCACTGATGCCGAGGCGTTTCTTGTGTCGTTCGCTTCTCTTGGAGTAGCACTGCGGCTGTGCTGTTGGGCTTGTGTTTTCATCTTCGCCGTTTTCTCCTTCCCGTTCCCGCTCCCCTGCTTCCTCCTCTTCGTTCTCCTCCTCCCCCCCTCCTCCTCCTCCTCCTTCTCCTCCTCCTCCTCCTCCTCCTCCTCATCCTCCTCCTCCTCCTCCTCCTCCTCCTCCTCCCCCTCCTCCCCCTCCTCCTCTCTCCCTTTCGTTGCTGCCCCCGCTCGCTCTGCGCCGCCGGCCCCTCCCGTCGGCCCGCCCCCGTCCCGCGCGGGCGGCTTCTCCCGCGCCCGCCGCGCGCTGCTGTCTCCACGCCCAGTCTTAGGTCGGGCCTGTCCTTCTACAGGAGGAATATACAATTACTCACTGCGTGCAGCTCCCCATATGTGCATCTCATGTTTTATGATATGCCATAGTGAACGTTTCTCTATAAATGCCTGACTATAACAGCGCGTCCACGTGGTCGACAGGTCCGACCTGGCGCTTCCTGTGGCCTCCTGGGGCCTTCTGTGGCTTCCTGAGGCCTTCTGGAGCTTCCTGGGGCCTCCTGGAGCCTCTTGGGACATCCTGTGGCCTCTTGAGTCTTTTTGTGGCCTCCTGATGCCTCCCGGGACCTCATGTGGTCTCCTGGGGCCTCCTGAAGCCTGTTGGAGCCTCCTGTGGCATCCTGAGAAGAATCTGCGCCCACGAGCCTGGCCACCAAAACAGGCAAATCGATCGAGACATCCTCAAAGTCTGGCCCACCTGGGGGGTGAAAATGAGCGCCTCGCTCGAGACATCCTCCAAATCTGCTCCGACAGCGAAGGATGTTGGGACAGAAAGCAGGCAAACCGCTCCAGACATCCCCACATAATGGCCGCGAACGGGACCGTGAAAACACCCCTGGCGGCCCCCCTTAGGGATGCTGAAACCAGCGCCCCGCTTGAGACATCCTCACGATCTGCTCGGATAGCCAAGGATGTGAGGACAGAAAACAAGTAAACCGCTTGAGACATCCCCACACAATTGCTGCGAACGGGACCGTGAACACACCCCTGGATGCTCCCTTTAGGGGGGCTGAAGCCAGCGCCCCGCCTGAGACATCCTCACACTCTGCTGTGTGTGTGTGTGTGGAATAAATCAGACAATGAAAAGGTCTGAGTACGAGCAGGTCTGAGCATGAGTAAGTCTGGGAGCAAGTCTGAGTATTAGTTAGTCTGGGCAGGAGTGAGTCTCAGCATGAGTAACTCTAAGTAGGAGTAGGTCTGAGTAGGAGTAGGTCTGAGTATGAGTAAGTTTGTGTCTCAGTAAGTCTGGGTATGAGTAAACCTGAGTGTGAGTAAGTCTGGGTATGAGGAGGCGGAGAAGGAGAAGAGGGAGAAGAAGGAGTCGGATGCGTCCAAGTAATAGCAATAACCCCATCTTAGGATATGGGGACAATAGTCAAACAATAGTCTGGGGACAATTTGGTTGGAGTATTTTTTGACCATTTGGGAGTTTTTGTTCGGCGAGAATCCCCCTGTAGGGGGACAGGCCCGACTTAAGCCCAGTCCCCTTGTTCGGCGCAGAGCGAGAGTCAGCCAACGCAGTTGCCACACGCCGCTCTCCGAGAGCTCCTCGACCTGCTTCGCCCACCTCGTCGGCAGCTCCTGGGGCGATATGTTTGTTCCCAACGCCGACCTCCCTCCCCTCCCCACAGCACATAATTCCCTGGAGGCACAACTTCAGGAAGGCGTGCCACAAGGCCTCGAAGGAGCGAAGCTTGCGCTGGGCCTCATCGCGCTCGTTCTCCGACCTCTTGCGGGCCCGCTTCTCGTAGGTGAGTGAGGTTGTCTTGGCAGCGCTTCAGCTTCTCCTAGGGGAAGCGTGTTTTCGATTGCTGCCGCCTTGCGCCCTGCGCGGCAGGGCGCTGCTTCCTGCTCCCTTGTCCCCCCCGCTCGACAGTCCTCCGCCTCCTGGAACCGCTCCCAAAAATCCGCCCTGTGGTCGCGCGCCAGGCCCACTTGGGGTGGCGCACGTGGCACACATGCAGCTCACTGCACACCTGGCGCACACGGCACACCTGGCGCACCTGTCGTATTTTCACGTTTTCCAATGCGCCCACCGTGTGCTGCAGGCGGGGGAGTTTCCTCTTGCAGGTCGTGGCCACTGCCTCCTCGGCGACGGCCTTTTTGGCAGCCCGCCTTACCTCGCCGTAGAGGCGGTTCCGTTCCCTTTTCTTCTCGGAGACTTCCGTCCCTGGCTTGGGGTTTCCCATGCCAGGGGCGGTGTGTGGAGCGGTGCAGGCGGCGGGGGTACCTCGTGGACTGTTTGAGCCTCGGTCGAGGTGACGCGTCCCTCGTCGCGTACGCTGCCTCTCCTCCTCCTCCTCCTCTTCCTCATCCTCCCCCTTGTCCTCCTCCCCCCTCTCCTCCTCCTCCTCTTCTTTCTCCTCCTCCGCCTCCTCCTCCTCCTCCTCCTCCTCCTCCTCCTCCTCCTCCTCCTCCTCCTCCTCCTCCTCCTCCTCCTCCCCCCTACTCGGAATCCCCGTTTGTATGCACAATCATTGAACAGCCTGGGGACAAGCAAGCAAACAAAACAACACATAACAACAACCCTGAGAGGCTCTTCCCCCTCCTCCTCCTCCGTCTCCTCGCCCCCAGCGAGTTGTTTTTCAAGTGTTTGTCTTATTCCCAGACATCCTGTGGTGTTGGGTCCTCGTTTTGAAGAGACGGTGGCCCGCGTCTCCTCTCCTCCTCTCCTCCTCCGCCTCCTCTCCCCTCCTATCATCCTCATCGTCATCATCATCATCATCATCATCATCATCATCATCATCATCATCATCATCATCATCATCATCATCATCATCATCATCATCATCATCATCATCATCATCATCATCATCATCATCATCATCATCATCATCATCATCATCATCATCATCATCATCATCATCATCATCATCATCATCATCATCATCATCATCATCATCATCATCATAAGCATCAGCATATCATCATTACATCACCATCATGAAGATATCATAGGGAGCTCCAGCGAAGGCCTCAGTGGCTGCGCTCCCATGCGCCCACCGCACAGATTTCGGCACACCCCTCACACGTTTCGTGGCCCCATAGGGAGCTCCACCGAAGGCCCCAGTGGCTGCGTTCGCATGCCTCCCCACCACCCATTTCGGCACACCCCTCACACGTTTCGTGGCCCCATAGGGCGCTCCACCGAAGGCCCCAGTGGCAGGGTCCGCATGCCTCCCCACCACCCATTTCGGCACACCCTACACACGTTTCGTGGCCCCATAAGGTACGACAACATCAAGCCCAGTGGCTGCGCTCCCATGCGCCCACCGCACACATTTCGGCACACCCCTCACACGATTCGTGGCCCCATAGGGAGCTCCAGCGAAGGCCCCAGTGGCTGCGCTCCCATGCGCCCACCGCACAGATTTCGGCACACCCCTCACACGTTTCGTGGCCCCATAGGGAGCTCCACCGAAGGCCCCAGTGGCTGCGCTCCCATGCGCCACCGCACCCATTTCGGCACACCCCTCACACGTTTCGTGGCCCCATAGGGAGCTCCAGCGAAGGCCCCAGTGGCTGCGCTCCCATGCGCCCACCGCACCCATTTCGGCACACCCCCTCACACGTTTCGTGGCCCCATAGGGGGCTCCACCGAAGGCCCCAGTGGCAGGGTCCGCATGCCTCCCCACCACCCATTTCGGCACACCCCTCACACGTTTCGTGGCCCCATAGGGAGCTCCACCGAAGGCCCCATGGCTGCCGTCCGCATGCGTCCCGCACACCCATTTCGGCACACCCCTCACACGTTTCGTGGCCCCACAGGGAGCTCCACCGAAGGCCCCATTGCTGCCGTCCGCATGCGTCCCGCACACCCATTTCGGCACACCCCTCACACGTTTCGTGGCCCCATAGGGAGCTCCACCGAAGGCCCCATGGCTGCCGTCCGCATGCGTCCCGCGCACCCATTTCGGCACACCCCACACGTTTCGTGGCCCCACAGGTAGCTCCACCGAAGGCCCCAGTGCTGCCGTCCGCATGCGTCCCGCACGCCCATTTCGGCACACCCCTCACACGTTTGTGGCCCCATAGGGAGCTCCACCGAAGGCCCCATTGCTGCGCTCCATGCGCCCATGCGCCCACCGCACCCATTTCGGCACACCCCTCACACGTTTCGTGGCCCCATAGGGAACTCCAGCGAAGGCCCCAGTGGCTGCGCTCCCATGCGCCTACCGCACAGATTTCGGCACACCCCTCACACGTTTCGTGGCCCCATAGGGAGCTCCACCGAAGGCCCCAGTGGCTGCGCTCCCATGCGCCCACCGCACCCATTTCGGCACACCCCTCACACGTTTCGTGGCCCCATAGGGAGCTCCAGCGAAGTCCCCAGTGGCTGCGCTCCCATGCGCCCGCCGCGCCCACTTCGGCACACCCCTCACACGTTTCGTGGCCCCATAGGGAGCTCCACCGAAGGCTCCAGTGGCGGTGTCCACATGTGTCCGCGTCATTGATTTCGGCACACCCCTCACACGTTTCGTGGCCCCATAGGGAGCTCCACCGAAGGCCCCAGTGGCTGCGCTCCCATGCGCCCACCGCACCCATTTGTACACACCCCTCACACGTTTCGTGGCCTCATAGGGAACTCCAGCGAAGGCCCCATTGGCTGCGCTCCCATGCGCCCACCGCGCCCATTTCGGCACACCCATCACACGTTTCGTGGTCCCATGGGGAGCTCCAGCGAAGGCCCCAGTGGCTGCGCTCCCATGCGCCCACCGCACCCATTTCGGCACACCCCTCACACGTTTCGTGGCCCCATAGGGAGCTCCAGCGAAGGCCCCCAGTGGCTGCGCTCCCATGCGCCCACCGCACAGATTCTGGCACACCCCTCATACGGTTCGTGGCCCCATAGGGAGCGCCATCGAAGAAGATACTCACAATTGCGGTACTCGCAACTGCATCTGGTTGGGTCCTTCGTCAGGACAATGTTTTTCAATGCTTCTTCCTTCGAAACAAGGAATTTGATTATGGGGGGGGGGAGGAGGATGAGGAGGAGGAGAAGGAGGGGGAAGAAGGAGGAGATCGAATGGGGAGGGGGGGGGGGATAGTCCCGCATTTTGTCTATCCGTAGGTTTTTCAATGATTCCTTCTGCTCCTGCTTCTGATTGGGGGGCACGGTAGCGTTCTCCCCCCGTGGCATTCAAAGGGGGGGGGGCGCTCTACTTAGACGGTAGAAAGTTCCCCCCCTCTGAATGCGGATGTCCGAATGGCTGCCCGAAAGGCCCGAATCGGTGCCGAATCTCAGGGGGGGTGGGGGACGGTAGTAGTCGTAGTCCTAGTTGTAGAAGGAGGACCAGGGGGATGATGATGATGCTGATGATGATGATGATGATGATGATGATGATGATGATGATGATGATGATGACGACGATGATGATAATAATGATGATACTGATGATGCTGATGATGCTGCTGATGATGATGATGATGATGATGGTGATGGTGGTGATGATGATGATGATGGTGATGATGATGATGATGATGATGATGATGATGATGATGTTGATGATGATGATGATGATGATGATGAGGATGAGGATGAGGATGAAGAGGAGGATGAGGATGAGGATGAGGATGAGGATGAGGATGCGGATGAGGATGTGGATGAGGATGAGGAGGAGGAGGAGGAGGAGGAGGAGGAGGAGGAGGAGGAGGAGGAGGAGGAGGAGGAGGAGGAGGAGCCTTCTCCTCCTCCTCCTCCTGGCTTCTCGCTGCCTCCTGGCTCCTCGCTTCTTCTCGGTCTTCCTCGCTCTTCCGCTCGTGAGCGGGGAGCCGAAGCTGCCTGTCGCCGCAGGACGTCCGAGCCGCCTCGCGGCCCCCTGGAGGACCAGGCGGGCCGGGGGCGAGCTGCCCGCCGCGCGCGAGGGGAGAGCGCCCAGGGGGGGCTGTGGCGAGCTCCGTGATCTCGGGAGGGGAGGATACTGGTGATGGGGGTGATGCGGATTGTGATTGTGATGGTGATGGTAATGGTGGTCTCTGGCAGTGATGCTGTCCATGGAGATGGTTATTGTGATATGCTGATGGCGGTCGTGGTAGTGGATGCTGTTGATGATGGTGGTGCCGGTGGTTATGGTGATGATGGTTGTTGACGATGATGATACTGGTGGTGATGATGATGGTGGTGGTGATGCTGATTGTGACGATGGTGATGATGATGATGGTGGTTATGTTGATCGCATTACTACTTGTAACTATGAAGCTGGTGCTGCTGCTGATGCTGCTGCTGACGCTGATGCTAAATCTGATGAGTCTGATGGTGATGATGCTGCTGCTGATGATGATGATGATGCTGATGATGCTGCTGCTGCTGATGATGATGATGATACTAATGCTGATGCTGCTGATGATGATGGTGGTGGTGGTGGCGGGTATTATACTGATGGCGCTGATGATGCTGCTGATGATGATGATGATGCTGATTACGATGATGATGCTGATGATGATGACGACGAGGAGGATGATGCTACTGCTGATGATGCGGATGCTGCTGCTGATGAGGATGAGGATGAGGATAATGATGCTGATGATGATGACGATGATGATGCTGGTGGTGCTGCTGCTGTTTATGCTGATGATGCTGATGATGCTTGTGGTGGTGGTGGCTGTGGTGATACCAATGGAGGATGATGATGCTGATGATGCTGATGCTGATGCTGATGAGGCTGTTGATGCTGTTGATGCTGATGCTGATGCTGAGGCTGATGCTGATGCTGATGATGCTGATGATGCTGATGATGCTTGCGATGATGTTGATGATGATGCTTACGATGATGATAACGATGATGATGATGATGATGATGATGATGATGATGATGATGATGATGATGATGATGATGATGATGATGATGATGATGATGATGATGTTGATGATGATTATGATTATGATGCCGATGATAATGCTGACGCTGATCATGATGCTGATAATGATGATGCTGATGACGGTAATGATGGCAATGATGACACTGATGGCGATGATGATGATGATGATGATGATGATGATGATGATGATGATGACGATGATGATGATGATGATGATGATGATGATGATGATGATGATGATGATGATGATGATGATGATGATGATGATGATGATGATGATGATGATGATGATGATGATGATGATGATGATGATGAGGATGATGATGATGAGGATGATGATTACGCTGCTGATGCTGATGATGATTCTGATGACGAGGATGATGATGCTGATGATGGAAAGAGCGTGTTCTACTGCTGGCGGAAAACCGAGGGGGGGGTCACTGGGGTTCCCAAGCCGTCCCCCCCCCTCGAAAACCGGGGAGGGTCACCACTGGTTCGAAACCCTCCCCCCCCAGTCCATTATGAAAAGGGGGGGGGTTCACTACCGGTTCGAACACCCCCCCTCCCGCCCCTTGAAAAGTGGGGGGGGTCACTACCGGTTCGAACCCTCCCCCCTCGCCGCCGGCAAACGATTCCCGCTCCTCGGGACAGTTGGACAATGGTGGGGATACTGAGACAGTGGTGGGAACGGTGGTGGTGGGGACAGTGGTGCGGGGACAGTGGGACAGTGGTGCGGAGAGTGGTGGGGACGGTGGTGGTGGGCACAGTGGTGAGGGGACAGCGGGGCAGTGGTGGGGACAGTGGGACAGTGGTGGGGACGCTGGTGGTGGGGACAGCGGTGAAGGCTGTGGTGAGGACAGTGGTGGGACAGTAGTACAGCGGGGAGAGTGGTGGGGACATTGGGGACAGTGGGACAGTGGTGGGGACAGTGGGGACGGTGGGACAGCACAGTGGGACAGCGGCGGGGACAGTGGGGCAGTGGTGGGGATAGTGGGGACAGTGGGACAGTGGGGGGGACAGTGGGGAAAGTGGGGAGAGTGGGACCGTGGTGGGACAATGGTGGGAGAGTGTGGACACGGACACGGTGGGGTCACTGTTGGACACGGGGACATGTGGAACGTGGGACAGTGGATAAGTGGTGGGGACTGGGACATTGTGGGACGCTGGTGTGGGCAGTGGTTGGAACAGTGGGAAGTGGTGGTGGGACAGTGGGACAGTGGAGGGTACAATGGTGGTGTGGACAGTGGTGAAGGCGGTGGCGAGGACGGCGGTGGACAATGGGACAGAGGTACAGTGGGGACAGTGGTGGGGACAGTGGGGACAGTGGTGGGAACAGTGGGACAGCTCTCCATTGTAATGCTTTTATCATCGTCACCTTCGGTGGGAACAGTAGTGACAGTGGACAGTGGTTGGTGGCGTGGGAAGTGGAGAGGAGTGGGACCGTGGGTGGGACAGTGGGGGGCCGTGGGAACATGCGACAGTGGTGGGGGCACTGTTGGGGACAGTGAGGACGGTGGTGGGAACGTGGGAAAGTGGTGGTTTAGGACAAGTGGTGCTGGGGACGCATGGTGGGGGATTTGGTGCGGACGGTGGTAGGACCCCGGGAGTCGTTTGCCGGCGTGAGCGTGTGGGGGGGGGGTTCGAACCGGTAGTGGCCCCCCCCCGTTTCTGAGTGGGTTGGGGGGGTCGACCGTTATTGACCTCGTCCCGT